AGTTCACATATATTTTTAACCAATAGGGTTCTGTTATAAAAGACGTGTTGCCCCCAAATTCCACTATAGAAAACACATCCAAGGGAAAGTGCCACTTGAAGCATCAATGCCACTTTAAGAAGTTAATCCTGCTTGAATAACAGGATGAGTTTATACAGAATGTGTTCACTATTAGTTCGGAGCATTATCTGGGTTATTTTGTTCCTTCCTTCTTTGCTTTCATCCTTCCTCCCTACCTCCCTCCACTTCTATGACAAAGAGGTATCCTCCCACATCCTGCAAAGCCAGAGACACATACTGGGAGACCTAGTAACATGAAACCTCTTCATATGCCAGTAGTCACTCAGGAAACATTCAATGTTCAACACCCCTGTCCCTCTGTTCCTGCCTCATTCATTAACTTCTCAGTTCTTTTTTGATCTTTAATTCACAGTAAGTCCATCATCAATCGGACAGTTTCATGGAGCACTTTCTATCTTCCCTATTCTATTACCAGTACTAACAAGAATTATAGTGATTAAAGAAAAATTTTTAGCACATATGATTGATGAAAGAAACTTATTTAGTGCATATTATTTGCCAGGTACTGTACTAAAAACTTTATATATGTTAACTAATTTAATTAATTAAATAACTATCTGTATACAAATTTTCATCAAATACTTCCTCCTCTTGATTCTGAAGCCTGAGAAAGCCCACGAACTATCTACCAAATGGGCAGGAGCTATCTACCAAATGTAATTTCTTTGTCTAGTTCAGTGTTATCCAATAGAAAGGTAATATAAGCCACATGTAATTTTAAAATGTTTAGTAGTCACATTTCAAAAAGGAAAAATAAGTGGCCAAATATTATCACTTAAACACATAATCAAAATTAAATGTTAATATTTTCTATTTTTTCATACTGTCTTCAAAATCCACAGTATATTTTAGGGTGTATTTTCCACTTACAGTGCAACTAGTTCTGTCTACTGCATTTCTAGTACTCAGTGGACAAATATTTAGTTAATTATCCTTAGAATCTCAAACTAACAGAAGATCAGATTTGGAAGATTTGACATTGTTCTTGTTGTCAGGAGTCATGAGAAAACTGAGGTTCAGAGAGAAGTGCTATTTCCTGCAAAGTGAAATGAGCCCTAGACTTACAACAAAACTCAATTCATATCCAAGCTACTGAGTGACCTTAGAGGCTACACCTCACTGAACTTAGTGTCCCCACCTGATAATGGAGGATAATAACCTTTACAAGATTGTTCTGAGGTTCAAATGAGAACATGGATCTATATGTGTGAGGGCCTAATATAACACCTACCACAACCAGTGAACTCACAAAGCTAGCTAGCAGCAGTGCTGGGTATATCAGGCTAAGTCCAATCACGAGATATAAAACACTACAAACAATTAACATATAAGAAAACTCTATATGGTACACTAAGGCTAAGGAAAAGTACTCAAATAAGGACAAATTTTAATGGGGTTCAGACCTCACTTGAAAAGGAGTAATTTGGCAGGGCGTGGTAGCTCATGCCTGTAATTCTAACACTTTGAGAGGCCAAGGCAGGAGGATTGCTTGAGCTCAGGCATTCAAGACCAGTCTGGGCAACATGGTGAAACCCCATCTCTACAGAAATTACAAAAAAAAAAAAAAATTAGCCAGGCGTGGTGGTATGTGCCTGTAGTCCCAGCAACTTGAGAGGCTGAGGTGAGAGGATCACCTGAGCCCAGAGAGGTCGAGGCTGAAGTGAGTCATGATTATACCACTGCACCTCAGCATGGTTGACAGAGTGAGACCCACCCTGTCTCCCAAAAAAAGAAAAGAAAAGAAGAAATTTAACACACTGGATAGCAGAATGTTTGCTGATTTGGCCCGGTGGTTCACAGTCACTGTGTAAGCAGGAGGCAACTCCCCAGAGTACAAAAAAGCGGGCCAACAGTGACCAGTGGAGAAGGTATAAAGAGAAGGTGGGAAAACTGAGTTGCAGGTGAGCTCAGCGGGGCCAGCCTGGTTTGGTGGGAACCCCCTAGGGTGCAAGGTCAATGGATGAGGGCCCTGCAGAGCGGGTAATAGCTCCATGATAACTCTTCACCAGCAAGCGGGCCATGTAGGGTAGGGGGTCTACAGAGGGAAGCTGAAGGACTGCATGGTCATGAAGCCTTCAAGGAAATTGAGGCACCATGTGCCTGGGTGGGTGGCTGGGTCAGAGTTCCATCAGCTGTCCTCCCTGCCCCTGCCCCGCCCCCGCCTCAGCTGGAAACGTGAAGAGATCCCCCTCCTCCTGCAACGTCCCTCCAGCTCCCTCTACTGAGAAAGTTTAAGGCGTGCTCACTATAAAGGAAAGATGCTTAAAGAAAATCTGTCCATTATTACAGAGCAGGTATTGAGAGGCTTGGAACTGATGGGCAATAAATTGATAACATACGGGGTAGACTATAAGTTACATTTTGACTATTGGAATTCTACATAGTTTATTGGAGACATGACTCACACTAAGTTGGTCTTCTTTGTAGATATGCAGGCTGGCCTTACTGGTAAAGAATTATGAAAAAAGATAGATACATATTTAAACTTTCTGAGACTCACATTCTTCATTGAGACAATGGATATTAAAAATCCCACCTCACAGGTTTGCTGTGAGAATTAAGGAAGAAAGCATGTGTAAAACCCTCAGTGCAGGCATGGGCCATAGAAGTACAGTCATGCACCACAAAATAATGTTTTAGTAAACAATGAACCGCATATACAATGAAAGTCCTGTAAGATTATAATACAGTATTTTTACTGTATGTTTTATATGTTTAGATAAACAAATACTTACCATTGGGTTATAACTGCCTATACTATTCAGTACAGTTAACACCAGTACAAGTTTGTAGCCTAGGAGCAATAGGCTATACCATATAGCCCAGTTGTGTATTAGGCTACACCATTGAGGTTTGTGTTAAACACACTCCTGTGAAGTTCACACAACCACGAAAACATGTAATGATGCATTTCTCAGAACAACATTAAGCAACGCATGACTGCACATAATACAAATTCATTTCCATTTGCTCAGATAATATGAGGGCAACCATGGTAGCATATCCTTACTTTCCTAGTGTTATTCTTATAAAGGAATGAAAGTAAATCAAATTATTTCACAAGTGGTTATTTTTATCCTCAGTTGTAAGTTTAAATATACTTCTATCCTTCAATTATATCCTCTCCCAACTAAGTATTGATGTTAATGAGGCTCCAGTGAAACAAGTAGAATCCAGTATTGCTGGGCTATCAGGGGAACTCACTTTGCTTGAACACCAGTCATTTCTAACAATGCCCATGTAAATCTGATGATAGCAGGTAGTGGGAGCTCAACCACTACTTTGCTCTTTCTTCTCAAAATTTGCTACTTTCATGGCCAGGCATGGAGGCTCATGCCTGTAATACCAGCACTTTGGGAAGGTGAGTTGGCAAGATAGTGTCTTTTAAAAAAAGAAAAACTTACTGTTTTCAAATTCTTGATCCAAACTGATTGTCATGATATTCCAAATAATATCTACTGGTTGGTATGCTCTTAGTCCTAAAAAAACCTAGATGCTTGGATAAGATGCTGTATTTTAGCCCTGGCAGAAGAAACAACCTCTGCTACTTGGTGGATATACATTGAGAGCTCATGAAACAGACCTACACCTAGATGAAAAGATTAAAAATGAAAATCATTCACATCCCTTTAACAGGCATTGGAGAATCAGAGATCCATAGGATGGTCAAGCTGAAAAGAATGTGAAATTATCTGGCACACAGCATTATCCAATGGAAGTTTGCACAATGATGGAAATGTATTTTATCTGCACTGTCAAACACAGTAGCTACTAGACACAAGTGACAGCTGAGCACTTGAAATTTGGCTAGAAAGAATGAGGAGCTGAGTTGTTAATTTATTTAAATAGATAGTAGTTACCATAATAGACAGCAAAGACCTAGACAGCATAGCTTAATGCAAAGAGTATGGAATGTAAAGCTAAAAAGACCTTTAGGTCTAAATCCAGGCCACTATCACTTACTAGCCACATCAGTCTGCTCTTGCACTGCTATAAAGAAATACATGAGACTGGGTAATTTATAAAGAAAAGAGATTTAATGGGCTCACAGCTCTGCATGCTGTACAGGAAGTATAGCAGCTTCTCCTTTGGTGAAGTCTCAGGAAACAAAATCATGGCAGAAGGTGAAAGGAAAGCAGGTACATCTTACATGGCCAGAGCAGGAGTAAGAGGTGAGGGAGTTGCTACATACTTTCAAACAACCAGATCTGATGAGAACTCACCACTAGGAGAACAGCATTGAGGGGATGGTCCTCAACCATTCATGAAGGATCCGCCCCCATGATGTAATCACCTCCCACCGGGCCCCACCTCCAACACTGGGAATTACAACTGAACATGAGATTTAGATGGGGACACAGATCCAAACTATATCACTAGTTATATAACTTTGGTCATGTTATTTATCTTGTCCAAGGCTCAGTTACCTCATTTGTGAAATGGGGAAAATGCCAGAAGCACACAAGGTCCTTGTGATTAAAGAATGAACGTAAAGCCCCTAGACTAGTGCTCAACATAGCAGGCAGTTGATAAATGATAGCTAGTTTTCCAGACAAAACAACAAATACACCAAAAGGAGAAGCAACTTATGCACAGATACAGAGTCTGTTGGCCACAAAGTCAGAGGCCAATTCTAGATTTTCTTACTTTCTTTCATGATCACTTTTCTCATAGAAACTAATCACCCACCCCTCCGATCCCCTTTGTCACGTTAGTTGAGGCTACTATAACAGAATGCCATAGACAGGGTGACATAAACAACAAACATTTATTTTGCACAGTTTAGGAGGCTGACTAGGCCAAGAGCAAAGCACCAGCAGGTTGGTGCATATCTTTGTAAAGTGAAGAGTAGTAGCCCATACAACTATTTGATTGCTATTAAAAAAAAAAAAAATCTTATACATATACAGAAAATGTACCTTGGTGAAGCCTATTTGTTCCTTCCGGAAATTTTCCAAGGGTTTAATCAGCAAATCACTAGCATTGTGTACCTAGACAAAAAGGAAAAACAAACAAAATAATTTCTAGGTTAACAAGGTTCAAATACAAGATTCCTTGTTACTATGACATTTTCATTTATATACCATCCTGCAAAATGTTAAATGGTTTGCTGATTTGTTGGGGTTTATTATTGTTTGTTTCTATATTGTTTCTGAAAATCGAATGCATTGAGAAGAAGTGGGAGAAAGAATAAGAGGGGCATTTCTCTGTAACTTTAATGATAGTCTGATCTGAGTTTTTAATCGATAAATATCTGAAGTGATGTCCAGCAGAAGACAGAGGAGACCTGAAGGACAGGTGAAAAAGAGAAGAGAAAGAGAATGGCAAATACAAGAAAAGGACAATTGCAGCAAGTGCAAATCATTTCATCAGAGGCAAATGAGTGTGCAGTGATAGCATTAGGATAAAACATTTACAGTCCTGCCTGTGCCACAAAACCAGAAAATTTCCTTCAGAATGTGGAATGCATTACAGCATCACAGAAAACACTAGACTAGGTCTACAAATCACCTAAATATAAATGCTCAGAAGCTAATAGGAATGGCCTGTTCAGGGACTATTAATATTGGCATTAATAAATATGTTCTGGAGATATAAAAACATCAAAATCAAAGAAGACCCCTTGTTCTTTGGGCAGGTAAAGGTATACAAAGCTTTTTCTTCATATAAACCTCTTATGAGATTGTGTATGTCCAAGGCAACAAGTGGGGTTTGTGCCTACGTGGTGAGAGTTAGAATCACTAAAATGGAAGACCTTAGAGAAGGCATCTAAAGGGCTGCATTTTGGGAATCATTGCATTAATTTTTATTAATTAGCTACAAGACAGAAAACTAAAAGACAAGTTTCCTTGCCATATAAGACATAAGTGTCAGTAAGACAAGATATATCTTCCTAACAAAAATAGACAACAGAGGAAAAAGTCAGTTTTGACAAGATCTGACTTCTCCAATCTAAGAAGCAATTTTTAACCTACCACCCCAAAAGTGTGGAAAGTTGTGGGGCATTAGTGCATGGGTTATATGTGTCTTTCAGGTAATTTGGGCCTCTTGTTTTGTGTGTAGGTATGATTCAAGGTTCAACTAAATGGGCAAACTCCTAAAATGTCACTGCTAGCCTTTGTATGAGAACAACCTGGTGAACCCTGACATTCTGATCTACTGCAGCTCCTAATGCTACCATCCAGGACAGGCAGCACCCAGCAAAAAAATATATAAAACTAGGCAAGAAAAAAAAATGTTTTCCTTGAGAACAGTCATTCTCTATGTCTCCTGATCACCAGTGCTTTTATAGCTGGCTTTCTAAAACTTGTTTGCTACAAGCCTAGACTTAAAAAATCATGTAACCCTTCCCAAAGTTTGCTGATTTTTACAAAAACAGATCTCTTGCCTACTAACACTTCCAGACCCTGTCTGATTCTCATCACATCTCTTCTCTTCTACTGGATCTATGAAACCCCATTGAGTCCTAATCGTACTATAACCTACCTCCCAGTACAACCCTTAACATTCTCTTTTCATCTCTGAGTGTGCTCATTAGCCAAAGGCAGTAAAGTCTATAAATTCCACCCTGCAAGAGCCCCTAGTAAAGACTTCTCTTTCTATGAGGTCTGACTCATAGAAAGATTCGTTTTGGTTGCTTAGGAAATCAAAGATTCACTAACAATTATGATATCAAAAAAAATTACACCAAAGTCTCTCCTTAATTGAAAGTAAAACTTCTTCTACTAAAAATATCCACAAATTAAGTCATTGGTGTCATAGGCCCAGCACAGAAAGTCCATTTTTCTCCTTTAGTATTGTGGAAGCCTTAAAACATGGCCACAAACTCTGACATACCTTCCATTGAGAGGTGAGGTCTGTATTCCCTCTACCTTGAATGTGAGTGGGCTTGTTAATATTTTGAACAAATAGAGCACTCCAGAAGTAACACTCTGTGACATTTGAAGCTAGGTCATAAAAGGCCAGGACCAGTTCTCTCCCAGTTCTCTTGGAATACTCCCACTAGGAGCCTTGAGACAGTATATGAGAAGTTTAATTACCCTGAGATTACCAAACAGAAGAGGCCAAATTCTAGTCAATGTCTCATACCAGCTGAATCTGCCCTTCCTGCCATCCCCAGTGGAAGGTGCCAAACATTAGGAAAACCATTTTGGACCTTCCGTATCAACTAATCTGCCAGGTAAATGCCATCATTTGGAGCAGAAGAATCGCCCAGCTGACCCGTCTGAATGCCTAACCCACAAAATAATTACAAATAATTAGTTTAAGTTTAAGCCAGTAATCTGCAACCTTTTTGGCACCAGGCACCAGAATCATGGAAGACAATTTTTCCATGGACCCAGGGTAGGGGGAGGTGGAGATGGTTTCAGGATGAAACTGTTCAACCTCAGATCATCAAGCATTAGACTGTCATACAGAGCATGCAACCTAGATCCTGCATGCACAGTTCACAATAGGGTTTGCTCCTATGAGAATCTAATGGGGCTACTGATCTGATAGCAGGCAGAGCTCAAGCAGTAATGCTCCCTATCCTGCTGCTCACCTCCTGCTGTGTGGCCAGGTTCCTAATAGGCCATAGACTGGTGCCCCACAGCCTAGGAGTGGGGGACCCTGGTTTCAGCCACTAATATTAGAAAAAGGTATGAAGCAATAGATAATTAGAAAGACAATTTGCAGTTTAAAAAATGCAATACGGGCCGGGTCAGTGGCTCACACCTGTAATCCTAGCACTTTGGGAAGCTGAGGCGGATGAATCACCTGAGGTCAGGGTTTCAAGACCAGCCTGGTCAAAATGGTGAAACCCCGTCTCTACTACAAATACAAAAAACTAGCCGGGCGAGGTGGCACATGCCTGTAATCCCAGCTACTTGGGAGGCTGAGGCAGGAGAATCACCTGAACCCAGGAGGCGGAGGTTGCAGTGAGCCAAGACTGCATCACTGCTCTCCAGTCTGGGTGACAGAGTGAGACTCAGTCTCATAAATAAATAAATAAATAAATAAATAAATAAATAAATAAATGTAATACCTAAGAAGTGGCCAACTGGGAAACATTGAAGAAGTTTGCCTTTAAATAAGAAGTGAACATACTACTTTCTAAAGCCTGTATGGAGCTGGGCCCTTGCATATTCAGGAACCCCCAGGATGGCAGAGTTGCTGGCTTTTCATGCCCCAAAGGGGATTGTCCTGCATAAGCAAGTGTGTCAGCAACTTCTCACACAGGGTCCACAAGGCCACTGACTTTTAGATTTTTGATCCCAGTTCAGTCTAGAAAAATAGTCCATGGTTTACTAGAATTGCAGTACATCATTTTCCCTTAATCACTTTGGCAATACTGCTCCCAGTCTCCTACAGCACAAACAGATACTCTGAATCTTTTCCTTTCTATGACACTCATTGGTAATTATATTATTTTCTTGTCAGAATAGAGACTTAGGAATGTAGAAAAAAGTCACATTGAGGATTTCCTCTTTTTTCTTTCTCATTCTATTTTATTCTGAAACCCCTTAGAACTCGAGCAATGACCCCTTTTAAGTAAACTTGGCCTTTAATCTCTTCTCTAATCACTGCATTCATTGTGTGAGCTCACTGGGGACAAAAACTCCCACCTGCTATCTCAGGTAGAATCTTCACCATAAGGAGTGACATCCTAAACTCATTAGTGAATTTCTATCATCAGAATCCTATTGAATAAAGGCCAAAGTAACACTGAACAAGGTGTTGAGCAGAATAGAGATGATACTCAGTCCAGTATTGCAGGATTGTTCAGGAATCTTTGATGGTAAATGAAATATCAAAAGAAAGCACTGGGCTGGGCACAGTGGCTTGTGCCTGTAATCTCAGCACTTTGGGAGGCCAAGGCGGCTGGATCAGCTGAGGCCAGGAGTTCGAGGCCAGCCTGGCCAACATGGCAAAACCCCATCTCTACTAAAAATACAAAAATTAGCTAGGCATGGTGGTGGGTGCCTATAGTCCCAGCTACTCAGGAGGCTGAGGCAGGAGAATCACTTGAACACAAGAGGCAGAGGTTGCAGTGAGCCGAGATCACGCCACTGCACTCCAGCCTGGGCAACAGAGGGAGACTCTGTCTCAAAAAATAAAAAATAAAAACATTTTTAAAAAGAGAGAGCATTAAAGACAGGTTGAAATATCATGGGGGCCTCTTTAGGTGACTTTTGGCAGTCTTCAAAAACAGACCTTGCACATTGCCAACAGAGGCCTCTTTGGAGTCAGAAAAGAATCTAGGCAAGCTTCATAATCATATAAGAAGTGTGCAATTCAGACTTTTCGAGGCCCTCCCCCCGCCCTTTTTTTTTTTCTTGGCAGGGCCTTACTCGCCCAGGCTGTAGTACAGTGGCATGATCATGACTCACTGCAGCCTTGACCTCCTCAGGTTCAGGAGATCCCCCCACCTCAGCCTCCCGAGTAGCTGCGACTACAGGTGCACGATAACGCCCGGCTAATTTTTGTATTTTTAGTAGAGACAGGGTTTCACCATGTTGGTCAGGCTGCTTTTGAACTCCTGGCCTCAAGCGATCTGACTGCCTCAGCCTCCCAAAGAGCTAGGATTACAAGCATGAGCCACTGCACCCAGCCCCAAGAGGATACTTTTGAGAACATCACAAGGATGCCCTTCCTCACTTCTTCCCTTCATAATTTCTTCTCCAATTTATATTCATTTATGGAGATGACCAGACACAGGCAATTTCCATGCTTGAGGGCTGTGAACTTTCTTCCTGTTATTCTAAAGCTTATTTTGGACTCTTGTTTTACAAAGGATAAAATGCAATATAAGACCCACTAAATTATCCAGATTGGGGTAGAGGGGTCCTTTTGCTACAAAGCCAGGAAATGGAAAAGTTATAATCAAGCAATGAATTCCTGGCATGGGGTGAAAGCACTCATTAAGCCTAACCATCTCAGCATTCCTGGAATTAAGTGGGAAATAGGGAGCAAACACTCAATATATGATTGAAAAGTTGTTGGGACAAAAGGGCACAACATAATTAAAGACAGAAGAAAATGAGTCAGTCATGTGGCAAAGTACCAGCAGGAAGGGTGAGAAAAACAACATCTCAAAAGATGAATACTACTTCAATATGTGAGGGCTTTGTTATTGGGTAAATAAAAGAGATGGAGAAACAACTAGGGCTAAAGCGAAGTACAGCTGAGCTTTCTAATGCTATCTGAATGAAATGGGGGCAAATGCCTTTGAAAACAACATGGGCAGCAGTCCACAAACTCTGTGGGCAGAGAAGAACATTTAGTAGAGTGTGTATTAGCAAGGGGGCCATCTAAGAGGCTCCAGGGAAACCACACATATTGGTCTCTTCTTAGTACATTTAAAAGCAAATATTTTAAACTAAGAAAATTCCCAAGTCATATTTCCACAAGCAGAATCTTGTGAGTAACTAAAGATAACTAAAAACCATGCTTACATAATCAGTATTTTCCCCTTATAAAACACTTCCATGTTTACTATATTATTTGGAGAACTTTAAACAACCATAAGAGATGGGGATTATTTTCCTCACTCTACAAATAAGAAAAAGGAGCCCAGAAAAATGAAGTAATTAATCTGAAGTCAACAAGTTAGTGACAGAGCCAGAATTAGAGCCTTAATTCTCTAATTCCCCTACCTCCAAGTCCTGCCTTCAATCCTACTTCTCTAGGAGTCTAGATTCTATGAGCAGTATTTTGAGAAGGCAGTACCACACTGTTGAAAGGAAAGAGGTTTTATAGGTAAATGAGTTCTGGCTGTTGGAATAAATAGCTTTAACAAAACTGAGAAGCCCACAAAAAGTCATCTGATGGAGAAAGGTAAAGTAGACCACTTTGATATCCTCTACAGAATTCTCATCTTACCATCATGCCCGTAATAAAAATGAATATTGATCAACATATACATTTCAACATTTAAGTCCCCAATAAGTCTGTGGTGGGGACAAAGACCAGTATTTCCAATAATTTTCTGCTGGTGCTGCTCATGATGGTACTGCTGCTCTAAGGACCACACAAAAAGATTATTTTTAGGCTGTTAAAATAATTAGACTTCATAAAAATGAAACCCTTAAGTACAAATCTAGCAAAATACGTAGAAGATCTATATAAGGAAACTATAAAACTCTGATGAAAGAAATCAAAAACGATGTAACTAAATGGAGAGATAACCCATGTTCACATTTAGGAAAAGTCAATATTTTTAAGATATCAGTTTTTCCCTGGTATCTTAAAAGCAAATCCTAATCAAAATAAAAAAGATATCTCTAGGATCTTAAAAGCAATCCCACTCAAAATCCCAGCAAGTTATTTTGTGGATATGAACAAACTGATTCTTAAGCTTATACCTGACTTCAATGGTTTTTACTACAATGCAATTCCTAACATGCTAAAGTTATGAAGATAGTGTGGTGTTGGTGAAAGAACAGATAAATAGATCAATGGAACAGAAATAGAGAGCCCAGATACAGACCCATATAAATATAGTCAAGTGATCTTTGATAAAGGACAAAAAGTAATTCAAGGAGAAAGAATAGTATTTTCAAAAAATAATGTTGGAGCAACTGGATATCCACATGCAAAACAGTGAATCTAGACACAGACCTTATATCCTTCATAAAAATTAATTCAAAATGAATCATTGACCTAAATGTAAAACAAAAAGCTATAAAATTCCAAAAAGATAACATAGGAGAAAATCTGGGTGACCTTGGATTTGGAAAAGACTTTTTAGATATAACACCAAAAGCATGATCCATTAAAGCAAAAATGTATAAGTTGGACTTCATTAAAATAAAAAACCTATGCAATGCAAAAGATACTGTTGAGAAAATAAAAAGACAAGCCACAGATGGGGAGAAAATCCTTGCAAATGCCTATTGGATAAACGTCTGGCATCTAAAATATTCAAAGAACTCTTAAAACTTAACAAAAGAAAATCAATTTAAAAATAGGCAAAAGAACTGAACAAATACCTCACCAGAGAGGATATACCGATGGCAGTTAACCATATGGAAAGATGCTCTGCATAATATGTGATTAGGGAGTTGCAAATTACAACAGCAATGAGATATGACTACACACCCGTGAGAATGGCTAAAATCCAGAACACTGACAACAGCAAATGCTGGTAAGAACATGGAGTTGGCGAGGACATGGAGCAACAGGAACTCTGATTCATTGCTGGTTATGCACAGCTATTTTGGAAGTTGGTTGGGCAATTTTTTACAAAATTAAACATACTCTGACAATTTACACTCCAGCAATTACACTCCTTATTATTTAACTAAATCAGTTGGAAATTTGTATCAACACAAAAACCTACATACAACTGTTTATAATAGTTTTCCTTGTAATTGCCAAAATTACCAAGATGTCCCTCAGTAGGTGAATGGATAAACTGTGGTAACTCATACAATGGGATATTATTTAATGATAAAAATAAATGACAGGAAAATAAAATGCATATTGCTAAGTCAAATACGCCAATATGAAATGGCTACATACTGTTTGATATCAACTATAAACATTCTGGAAAAGGCAAAACACAATAAAAAAAAGATCAGTAGTTGTCAGGGTTTCAGGACTGGAGGAGGAAGAGAAGGATGAATAGATTGAACAAAAGAAATGTTCACGGTCATGAATCTATTCTGTATGGTGGCACTGTAATGGTGGATACATGTCATTATATATTTGTCAAATCCATAAAATGTACAATATCAAAAGTAAATCCTAATGTAAACTATGAACTTTAGCTAATAATATTGTTTCAATATTGGCTCATCAATTATAACAAATGTATCACATTCATGATGTTTAATAATGGAGAAAACTGAATGGGAGAGAGAAAGGTGGTATATGAGTTCTCTCTGTATTTTCTACTGATTTTCTCTATAAAAGTAAAACTACTCTACAAATTGAAGATTAACAAATGGATAATTTGGCTAAAAACACTAAAGACCTCAATTTCTGTCAACATGTTTAAAGGCCCAGTTTAATATCCACTGAAATTCTTTTTCACTGAAATGAATACAGATGGGATTTGCACATTAATTTCGCTCTATCTAATGCCAAACTCTCAGGGTGGAAGCTTGAGACATAATAACCAGATCTATTACCTAACTATTTTTACAGCACCAAGAAGCTATCTGACAGAAATCAAAATAGTATAGGATCAATCCAAGCATAAAGGACAGGAAAAATCCCCTATATCACCCATGAACTCAGCTTCAGTGACAGAGTTAATGACTTACCATCATCATCCTCTCATTTTCTACCTCGTTGAGCAATTCAGCAAATTCCTTGAAGGATTCAGCTGGAAGGAGAGAATCAAATGTAAAACAAATTAATCATGGTGCTTGATAGACAAAGGGACAGAGATCTGTGCAACAGCAAGTAGGGACCAGTGCCCTATGCCCACATGGCCACTAGAGGAAGGTGTCAAATCGGACGACAAAAGCAGGTGTTCAGTACCTATCGAATGTTTCTTTTCTTTTCTGTTTTATCAACCCCCATATACTTTAATATTTTATTTAATCCTTACAGCCACTCAGGAGTAGCTAGAATTTCTCTTATTTCATAGACAAGCAAAGATTAGAAAAGAGGCAAGGGGTTTGCTGTGTAATGAATGGCATCTATAGAACCCTGAAATGAGTTTGGATCCCTGTTCCACTACTGACCAACCAGAGAGTATTGCTGTAAAAACTAAATTGGATGGTAAATGTAGGGTCAATACAAAGTAAATAATAAATACTACCCTTTCCACCCTCCCAAACTTTCTACTCTTCTAGTGCCAATTGTGCCACTTACTGGCAGGATGACTGGGCAAATCACTTCCCTTCTCAGAAATTTTGATGTCTTTATAAACAAAAAAAAAAGGTAAGTTAAGCTAAACAGTCTTTAGTGCCTCTTCAAATTCCTCAACTTCTCTCCAGAAGCAGGAAATATATTCTCAACTGGCATCTGAATGAAAGCCTGGAAAAACAAATTTGTCCACACTACCATTTTTAATCAAAAATTGAGTTTCCTCCTTTAAAGAACTGAGTAAGTCCAGCATTCCTGGTGTCAAGGAAATGAATTTCGGGGTCAACACAGCATGCAAGGCAATGACATTTCTTTCTTCTTCTGAGGATTAAGTTGCTGCAAATACCCAGGGAGATCACCTTTGCAAACACTAAATTCATTCAGAGCTCAACTGTAGCATAGAAAAGATACACACCACACTCAGAAAGAGTAAATAGGAAAAAATGGAAATGTTTGTTGACCTTCTGTCCCCAAATACTTTATGCTAAGAAAACTGTCAGAGAGATTTTTTCAATTGGCATTTTTCCAGACACGATCAGTTTACCTCTAAAGGAAATGTGACAAATATCATATTCAAACATTTAAAGGAAAAGACTAATTTTATGGACATTAAATGTGCCAAGCCTTCTGCTTCAGGGTTTAATTGTGACGATACCTTTATTAGGTGCTTATTATTATCACTGAATTGATATCACCATATAATATAGTTTGGGTATCTATCTCCTCTAAATCTCAGGTTGAAATTTAATCCCCAATGTTGGAGGTGAGGCCTGGTCCGAGGTGTTTGGGTCATGGGGTTGGATCCCTCATGAACAGATTGGTGCAGTCCTCCTGGTAATGAATGACTTCTCCTTGTATTACCTCCCACCCCCAGATCTGATGGTGCAAAACAGCCTGATATCTTCTCCAGTCTCTCTTGCTCCATCTCTGGCCATGTGACACACCGATTCCTTTTCTTCTTCTGCCACCACTGGAAGCTTCCTGAGGTGCTCACCAGAAGCAGATGCTGATGCCATGCTTCCTATATAGCCTGCAGAACCATGAGCCAAATAAACCTCTCTTCTTCATAAATCACCTGGCCTTGGGTATTCCTTTATGGTGACACAAACAGACTGAGACATAATAAAATGCACCATTTAAAGTGTACAATTCAGTGGCTTTTAGTATATTCACAAAGTTTTGCAACTATCACCACTGTATAATTGCAGAACATTTTAATCACCCCCAAAAGAAACCTAAACCCTATTAGCATTAAACCCCATTACCACTTCCTCCCAACACCCAGACAACCACTAATCTAGTTTCTATTTCCATGAACTTGCCTACTCTAGACATTTCACATAAATGGAAACACATGTGACCTCTGAATCTTGTTTATGCAACCATGAACATTTGTGAACAAGTTTTATGTGGATGTATGCACATATGAAAAGTTGGCCCTCCATGTATGTGAATTTCATATCCCACAAATACTGTATTTTTCTATCCAAATCAAAGAGAAAAAGTCTGCATGTAACTGGACCTCTGCGTTTTGAACCCATATTGTTTAAGGGTCAACTATATTTAGTATTTCTTTATAATCAGTTTTATTTCTCTAGGATTAGTAATAATATCCCCTATTTCATTCCTGATTTTAGTAATTCAAGTAGTCTCATGGTCAGTCTAACTAAGGGTTTATCAATTTTGTTTACCTTTATGAAGAACAGATGTTTGGTTTCAATGATTGTCTTGTTATTTTGACAAGGCTGCCTTATTATTGTAGTTTTTTACTGTTCTCCATTTCATTTATTTCCTCTTTAGTCTTTATTATTTCTTTGCTTATGTTTCTTTAGTTTGCTCTTATTTTTCCAGTGTCTTAGGTTGGAAAGTTTGGTTATTGATTTGATATCTTTGTTCCTTTTTAACATAGGAATTTGAAGCTACAAATTTCCTTCCAAACACTGTTTTAGCAGCATCCCATAAGATTTAGTATGTTGTGACTATTTTCATTCATTTCTATTCTTTCATTTTTCTCTTATTTTTTACAAGATTATCTCTTTGTTATTTTCTTTCATTAGACTATCATATGTTTAGGCATGTATCTCAAAGTTTAACTTGTTGGATGTGCATATTCATGTTTTTCACCAAATTTGCCAATTTCTTGGCCATTATTTCTTTAAATATTCTTTCTTTCCCGTCTCTCTTCTTCTGAAGTTCTCATTCTGTATACGCTCTTATGCTTGATGATACCCCACAGGTATCTGAGGTTCTGTTCATTTTTCTAAATTATTATTCTTTATTTCCCTCAGATTGAATGATGTCAATTCACTTGTGTTTAAATTTGCTGATCATTTATTCTCCCAGTACAAATATGATGCTGAACCCCCAGTAGTAAGTTTTTCATTTCAGTTATTATACTGCAACTTTCAACTGCAAGTTTCAGTTGATTCCTTTTAAAAAATCCATCTCTTTATTGATATTGTCTATTTTGTGAGACACTGTTCTCATTCATTTCTTAAGTTCTTTAGACATGGTCTCATTTATTAATTTAAATATATTTAAATAGGTAATGAAACTCTTTGTCTAGGAAATCTAATATAAGGGCTTCCTCGGGGACAGGTTCTATTAATTGCTTTTTTTCCCTTGTTCAAGGGTCATATTTTACTATTTCTTTGCATGTTTCATAATTTTTTAAAAGTTAACATTCTAACTAGTGTGACAACTTTGGAAATCAGAACTCCCCTTTCCCCAGAGCTTGTTGTTCTTGTGGTTGCTGGCTGTTTATTGGCTTCATGGACTCATTCTATAGTCTGTATTCTTTGTCATACGAAACCACTAAAGTCTCTGATCAGTAAGCTTACTGGTCAACAAGTGATTGGACAGAGATTTCTTTAAACGGTTTGAACAAATATCCCCAAGCCTTTGCTGAAGGGCTCTCTGTGTATTGTGGGGTGTACCTTCAACATTCAGCCAGACAGTTTGCAACTGTGCCTTAGCCTTCACTCCTCCTTGCAAAGAGCTGAAGGTCAGCCAGAAGTGGGAGACTAGAGATGTCTCAAGTCTTTCTTCTAGACAGGTACAAACGCTGGGTATGTACAAAGCCCCTCTCACATGCATGACCTTCTAGATTTCCAGGAATACCTCACAGCTCTTTAAAGCTCTCCAAGGATAACTCATTCTCTATTTTGTCCTGTTTGGTTTGTTGTTCAGTTTCTTGTTTGCTACTTTATTCTTTTTGTTGCCTGTGGAAACTGTAGTACTAAACAACTGCCACTGATTGTTTTCAGAAAATGCCCTAGGGGCCAGGTGGGGTGGCTCACACCTGTAATCCTAGCACTCTGGGAGGCTCAGGCAGGTGGATTGCTTGAGACCAGGAGTTTGAGACCAGCCTGGCCAACGTGGAGAAACTTGTCTCTACTAAAAATACAAAAATTAGCTAGGTGTGATGGCAGGTGCCTGTAATTCTAGCTACTCAGGAGGCTGAGGCAGGACTATCGCTTGAACTCGGGAGGCGGAGGTTTCAGTGAGCCAAGATGCCACTACCGCACTATAGCCTGGATGAGAGAGAGAGAGAGAGAAAGAGAGAGAGAGAGAAAGGAAGGAAGGAAGGAAGGAAGGAAGGAAGGAAGGAAGGAAGGAAGGAAGGAAGGAAGGAAGGAAGGAGAAAAGGAAAAGGAAAACGAAAGGGAAAGGAAAAGGAAGGGAAAGGAAAGGAAGGGAAGGGAAGGAAGGGAAGGAAGGGAAGGGAAGGAAGGAAAGGGAAGGAAGGAGGGAAGGAGAAAGAAAGAAGGAAGGAAGGAAGGAAGGAAGGAAGGAAGGGAGGGAGGGAGGGAGGGAGGAGGGGAAGGGGAAGGGAAGGAAGGAAAGAAGGAAGGAGGGAAGGGGAGAGAAAAGAAGAGAAGAGAAGCAAAGGGAAGGGAAGGGAAAGGAAGGGAAAGGAAGGGAAGAGGAAAAGAAAGAAGAAAGAAAGGAAGAAGGAAGGAAAAGAAAAGAAATTAAAAAAAAAAATCACAAGTGTGTTGCAGTGACTCATGCCTTTAATCTCAGAGGCCAAGGCAGGAGGATTGCTTGAGGTCAGGAGTTCTGTCTCAAAAAAAAAAAAAAAAAAAGAACAAAAGAAAGAAAATGCACTGGTAAAACAACAACAACAACAACCATTTAAAGAGTAAACTCTGAGTCAGCTGAAATCACGTAAGCCCTGTGAGTGATATTTCTCAAATTTTGAGTAACTTCAAACCCATTCTACCCTCACCCATGGCTGCTAGAATGGTGGTTTGCACACACTGCATGATTATACAGACATTAGTTTTCAAAGCTACTATGGAACTGCAGAAAGGAATAGGAACATGGCAAATTAAAATGTCATAGAGCTCAGTGTTTTCTCAACTATTCAGCCATTTTTATTTAATAAACATGCCTTGTTTTGTTGCAAAACTTTGGTTCATTTCTGGAGTTTTTAAAAAGTTGATTTTGGAAATTTCTGCCAGTGTCTTTGCTGCTTTTATGAAAGATCAAATTTTTGGAGGTCATTTT